CGCCATGGTGACGCCCGGGCGCGGGGACAGCGCCGGGCCCGGGCACAGCTCCCCGGCCTCAGACACCTCCCTTGGGACCGGCGTGCCCCGCACGGCCCCGCCGCTCCTGGGGATCCCCGGCCAGGCCGGGGCAGCGGGGGAGAAGCGCCAAGCGGGGTGAGCAGGGCCGGGCTACAAAGAAGGGGCGCTGAGGGACTTGCCCGCCGCTCCCCGAATGAGGCTCAGACGGGGCCTGCTGCTCTCAGAGCGTTGTTCTCTCGGTGTTTGTGCGTTTATCTCTCTAAAAGTGAAGGCAATGGACAAGGAAGAGGAAAAAGCTGCCGGTGGGGAAAAAGATCACATGCCCCCAGAAGATGAGAGAAGCAGTAGAGAGGAATGTCTTTCAGAGGCCAAGGAGAAAGAGAAAGGTATTGTGTATGCTCTACTAGAACGTGTTGGGGTCTTTTCAGGAGGATTTGTCAGCATTTTATCTGTTGTAGAAACCCAGCATGTCATCAAAAATATCCCGTGGACCGCAGCCAAAAACTTCACAGTGCAGACAGGATGGCAGCAAATTGAAGAACTAATTTCTGTGAGTCACAATTCCATCCACTCAGGAAGGCCCACCTTCTCACTTAAATATGAAAAATTAAAAAGGAGAGCATCTCTGTTCCTTTTTAGCACCAGCCTCAAGTCAGCTCTACTAGACAGAGGGAGTCTTAGTGTAATATGTTTATTCAACAGACATGGGACATTCATGAAAGCTGGCTTCACCACTCAGAATTTCTTGAGGAAGAAGAACTGAAGGACAGCAAGAGGTACCATTACAGAGTTTGCTGGGGCCTCCCAACTTGCAGAAAACCCATCCCACGAGCAACAGCAAGTGTCTACTTTGTTATAGTGATCTCCAAATCCAAACCTGATGTAAGTACTCAGAAATGGTGTGGATGGATTAGTCCTTTAAAGGACAAGAGCACAGTGGCATTCCTGAGGTAGGGAAATGCCAGGACAGTGGAGAGACTGGTGAGGAGCCAGTAGCTCTCATGGAGATGCTGAGAAGGCCTGGACATTGGCAGATCAATGGCAGGAGATTTAGACATGGCCTAATAGAAACCTGCTATTGGCTGGCAAGGGGAGCAAGGCATAGAACAGGAGGCTGGGTTAGTTCCCAAATCACTGACTGACAGAACTTGACAAACAGAATCTGGCAGGATCCTACATCTGCCTTCCTGCTCTTACCATCTTCCCTTTTCAAGCAACAATTTTTCTGGGCAGCTATAAGAAGGGCTGAGTAGAGGTGAGTTACGGAATGAGGGGTCAGTAGAGAGGGAGTGACACTTTATTCTTCAAGCTGTTTTAGAATCCCTTCCCTGATCAGCCTGAAGTTTGCACTTGAACAATGAACTCTTGCAACTCAAGAGAAAAAAAATGAAATAAATTGCACTGAATAGACTTCTTACCTCTATGCTTAAGTCATACTGAACCTCAGTGTTTCTACTTAACATTCTATGGATCCCCAAATAACAATCTGTGGTTTAACCTCAGCTGGCAACTAAGCATCACAGAACTGCTTGCTCACTTCTTCCCCACCGCCATGGAATGGGGGAGAGAATTGAAAGTGTAAAAAGAAGTGTAATAATATTAAAAAATAAATGGAATAATAGTAACAGATGGGGGGGAAAAATAACAAACTGAAGAAAAACCCTATGAATGACAAGTGATACAATGAAAACAATTACTCACCACATGCTAACCAATGCCCTGAGCAGCACCTTCTCTTCCGCCCCAACCAAATATCTAGATAATTTTTAAAATAAACAGTAGCTCTCACTTAATTACAATGTCTCCTTTTTGATGGGCTGCACATGGCCTCTGCCCTGTCTCTGATCTCTTGCAGACTGAACCTGTAGAGGTCTTCTACAGACTGGAGTCCAGCAGGCTAATTCGGAGGTAAATGTTACTATTATTTTAACAAGCTTTACTGTGGAGGCCCAGGGGCCTGTTGCCACGGTGCCTTGACTCTGGAGGGGGTGGCACAGGAGGGGGGAAATGCCTCTCCAGATTAGGGTGGGGAAAACCTTGGTCCCATGGGTTTTTGCAGCCACATGTTAGTGCCTTTTGGGTTCTGGTGTTCTAGTGGTTTGTGGGAATTGATGTCATTCTTGTTCAGTCCCCATTTACTATTCATGTACCCTTGCTAGAATGTTCTTCCTTCCCTTAGCACCAATTGGCTCTGTTTTTCTGCATTGTTCCACCCCTGTTATCCCCTTGGTTCTCTTGGTCTTTGGTCACTCCCCTGCACTACTTTCCCTTGTCCCTGTTGGACCTTGACCCTCAGATCTGCCCCTTTTACCCCGTATTTAACCCTGTGCCCTTAGTCTGACCTCGGTTCTCGTCCCTGAATTAATTTGATGCTTCAATAAACCAGTTGTCAGATTACCAAATGAGTGCCCATCTTTATCATCAGCATTCTTTAGTGGTGCTCTCTGGGCCCGAGAACGTGGGTCACTCTCTGGGATCCTGTTGTGGCACGCACTGTAGCACTTTCCCACTCCAAAACCAAACAGGGAGCTGGATGTAAATAAGTTTGCAATAATAGCAGAGGAGTGGAAGTTGTCAAAATGTTGCTACATGAAATGACCCTGCTTATCACTAGCTTCACCCTCAGAGGCATGAATAGCCACCCTGGGGGCATCTGCATTCTCCAGAAACTTGTCCGGCTTTACATGGGTCTAGGTGGGGGTCTTTATTGCTATGTGGTGAATAAAGGCCAGTTCTCAGCTGACCAAACTTGGATTCAGTATTATGCTTAAAATCTACCTTCTTTATATTTCGTTCTCCAGGCCAGAACAGTGCCAGTTTAGAGAAAAGTGGCTTCAGGACATAATTGAAAATAAAATAGCATGCGCAGAAAGACTTGCTTCCCGATGAACAGCGCCAATTCACCATTACCAATACTCTGTTGTGGAGAACCAAATAAACATGTTGAAGAAAGAAAAGCTCTTCCTTAGCAATATTTCTACTTTGTGGATAGATGAAAAGCATTGAACCTGTGCAAAATCAGCTAGGCCCTGACATGGCAGCTGGCTGTGTGTGACAGTCCCTGGCAGGTATTGCAGGGTGGAAGGACCTGGCAGGGTGGCAGGATGGAACCAGGTTCCAAGTGTAAATGGGAAGAGGCAGCTGGGTAGGATTTGTTGTTTGTGAATGCCAGGTCTCTGGAACTCCAGGGAAAACATTAAAGGACTTTAGGACTTTTATTTTCTTGATACAAATATACAAGATATCTCTGCTGCTAGACTTGGAGGGGAAAAAAAAAAAAGTAGGAGAACAAAAAAGAAAACACCTACCTCTCAAAACCATTTTGTTTTCAAAAACATTTGAGAAAAAGAAGCTCCAGGAGATACATTTGGAAATATGCAGTTGAATCAAAGATAACCACCACATAAGGACTGCCTGAGCAAAGCTCCAAGCACAGAGTTTAAAAAAGCAAGTCATGTAATACTGCTGAAACAGACTAAAGTAAAATACTACAGGAGTTAAAACATAGTTTAATCTAGAACACTTCCATAAACAAAAACATTTCAAATAAATTGAAAGATACATCCTTGTTACCACCTGTGTACATCCAGGGGTTCCAGTCACTGCACCCCACTGCACTGATGCCTATGTATAACATAGGAGAAAAAGAAGCAAGCAGCTTAGTTCTTCATCATGTGTTTCAGTAGATTAAAGATCAGACCCTCCTATTACTATTACTTTACACCTCATTTGCGATCTGCTTGCTCTAAAGTAACTGAAACCCATCTGTATTAAATTACAAACTCATTTACAAAATATTTACAATCTGGTTTGGATCACAAAGCAAACTCAACTGCTTTGAGTAAAAACCTAAATCTAAAAGACTTGTGAAAAAATAGTGAAGTAGACAGTCCTGGATCTCAAAACAGGAACTTAGGAGTTCCTTCACTTTTGCTACTGGTGCTAGTAGCTTGTTAAAGGTCTTTCTCAAGCTAAATGATCTGATGATTAATACAAATAAATGGAATAAAAAAATCTCGCTTATTGGCATTAGGTAACAAAGTCTTCCCATGGGATCCTTTGGCTTGTCTGATTCAAAGCAAGCACAGAACATTGAAACCTCTAATCTTCCCCGCCTTGTAGCCTTTCTCTTTACAGGAATTCCTCGTAGATGGTAAACAAACCATCCAAGAAAAACTGATGAAAAAAGCTCTGTTTTCTAGACACAAGTAATCCACTCCTGAGCCTTGGCCCTGTTGGGTAAAAGGTGCTGCAGCACCTGCAGCTTTTTTCAAATCACAGCTGGACTGGGTTAGCTGCCACATGGTGCAAGCTACGGTGTACAGTTCAAACAAAGCACTATTTTTCCTCTTTGCCTTTAGTCTTTCTGTAGACCATCTCTCGAAAGCTTGCAAGGATCTTATTCTCTCGTTTCCTCCTCTCCTCCTGGTTGAAGGATGCCAGAGCTCTCTTCTCATCTGCGCTGTAGATCTGGTTCTCTTTACGCAGACGCACAGCTTCCATGCGGCGATGTCTGTGGGGGAGAAGATGGGGTATGTCAACATGGGCAGAGGGTGTGAGTGTCCTGTCACAGCTTCCAGCCATCAACTGCCTTGGATGTGTTCAGGGGCTTTAAATAAAGATAATGAAGTACCAAGGCCTGAACAATAGGCCCTGAGCCAAAGTTGACCTCTAGGAGGACCTTCCAACAAAATGTTGTATTTGTATCCTGTACTCAATAAGGTAATATGCATTAGTGAAATATGTAGCGTGATAAGAATATATTTATCTTTCTGCATTTAGAAGCCAGACAAAGGCATGAAATCAGACATCTGGCCTTGTCTGAAGGTATATGATCAAAGCCAGCTCTCTTGGTTCCTTCTCAAGGCCTGGCCAGGCTTTGGGTGGAAGCCAAGAGGAGGATGAAACCACATGGTCCTGCACTAGAAGCTGTGTATGTTTGTTTATTTGACAGTCTAAAAGCTGGGCCTTCTCACAGTGAAAATGGAGGCCTTGCCTACAGGTGGACACACCACATAGGAATTCCCAGGAATGGTTCTCCAAGCCTTTGTTGTGACTGGGGCTTCCCAGCTGATGTGCCGATCTGGACGATGGTAAAGTATTAGGGTACCTGGTCATTTATCTTTCTTAATCACTCAAGGCAATCTTCTCCAGTAATGAATAGGTGCATTACTTAGCTTATTCTTTGTAATGCTTTGCAGTTTTGCACTCTAGCAAATTATACTTACTGCTTAAAGTTGGTGTCTGCGTCTTTTGTGCTGACTCTACCAACTGGTAAAACAGATACCTATATTAGATAATCCAAACTACACACTAACCTTCCCAGGAAGAAGTGTGGCAGAGCAAGGAACTGATTTCTGGGGGTGTCTGTTTTCAGGCAGTCAGGCAGAAGCCTCCCATACCCCCAGTGTCAGCTGCTGGCTCACCAAAATTTAAGTGAGATTCCCGTTGGTCATAGAGAAAAAAGTGCAGCCAACCTCTCACACATTTATTTGTCTCCTGCTGAAGGGCCAGCACATCCCCAGGTCTGTCCAAACAGACCTTTAAGCCATCTGACACAAGCACCTCCTCATTTGAAATAATTAGAAGAGTACTGGCTGTGAAGAACTTTTGCTCTTGAGGAGAAAGTGCCCTTGAAAAACTCACTATCCATCTCTAGCAATGGGGAGTTTAGTGTCGATTATTGCAAGCAGAGCACCTTCTCCTCTATGCTTCTAAGTAGAGTTTGGAAGCAGTCTGCTATTCAGCCAGCAGTGAAAGCAGCTCTTGAAAATTCCATTGAACCATTGCCATCATGAAAGCCATACCTGCTGCCACTCATGACATAACCAGAGCTCTCAAACGATGCAATCTCTTCACTTGTCAAGCCGATTTCACCTCTGCGGGGAATGCGCTTCCCTGCTTTTACGTACTCTGCCATGGCTGCACCTTCACCGGGCAGGAGGGCATGTCCATAGCTGAAAAACCAGAAGTGGTGATTTCAATAGTTTCAGATAGAGAGAGCCTGAGATAAACATCCAACTTCCCTGTTCACTACTATATACAGCTGCATTTTAAAACACTTTCTTATTCTTTACCATATATTAGCCTGTTTCTTCCTTATGGCAACACTAGCAACAACATCTTAAATTATCAGTTGAGTTAATTTTGATGACATTATTGAAGTCACAATACTGCAGAGCTTTAGAATAAAAGCACTTAAAATTACTTTTTCTAGGAATCAAGGCTAAAAAGCATAAACCAGACTTTTCTACCCAAATTCAGGCCAGGGGAAAGCCTAGCACCACTAGAACTTCTGTCTTTGAGTTCTTCACACAGCATTTTTCCCTCTGCATGCCTATTGTTGCAACAGCCCTTTTGAACAGTAGCTTTCACACTTGATTTATCGAAGTACCATTAGAGCTGTCTACTCACTTCAAAGGCCTATCATCCTGAGATGCGTGAGTTTTGGGAGCCTCTGGTCCAATCAAACTGTCAGCTTCAGTATTTTCTGCAACAATCAAATAAAGAAGAAGATTAATCTTGTGCCCATTGTTCTTTGTTATCAGAAGTGTTACACAGGTCAGCAACACCTAACAATGAATTCACAAAAAGGACATCAAGAAGTTTCCACCCAAGTTTTAAGTCAGGTGAACCTACTTGACCTCTCAATCCAGAGATCATCCCCATGAAGCTGTTCATCATCGGAATCTTCGCTACTTGAATCACTGGATTCCTTCCTGCTCTTCTTAGCTTTCTTTTTCTTATACTTCTTCCTGTGATAAAGTCAGACAGACATGCTATTTATCAAAATTTAAGATGAAAGAAGGTGCTTGGAATCATACTCAAATGATGAGTTCCTCAAGGTAAGTTCCAAATATAGGAAGACTGGCTTTCATACAGAACACTTCACAGCAAAGCCAAGACAATATATATGTTCTGTTTTGACTTTCATAGAGTGCTTAGAAAGTGGCCCTGGGGAGTTGTTGTGCACAGTTGTGTAGATATAAATAAAATCCATCAAATTAATATTATTTGCTACTTCTTGCAAATTACCCAAGGTCCTCAGGCTCCCTCAGGGCCTGAAAAGAAAACTGGGCTGCCCTCCAGCCAACAGCAGTCTGAATGACACACAACAACCAAGACACTTACTTTTTGTTCTTCTTTTTTCTCTTCTTGCTTTTCTTTTTATCTTCATCTAAAAAAAATAAAGTGTATCTATTAGCAAAAAGAAATTATTAGTTATAACATATAAGTAGTTTACTGCCCTGTGTATAACGTGGCATGCCTTTTACAGCCCCAGTATTCATGGAACTGTGGGCTCTTTGACTGTCTCAAACCTACCCCTATGTCTAACCAGGGGTGGTGGTAAAGATCAGAATGATGAAGGAGCAGCACAGTTGGGGCCTTGCCAGGATCACCCTGGCATGCCTTTTCCAGCCCAAATGATCCTGGAGCTGTAGGCTCTGCGACTCCCTCAACCCAAACCCTAATCCTAGCCCTAGCCCTAACCCCAACTCAATACTATGGGTTTTCTAGGTCACAAAGATGTGGGAATAGCAATAGTGGCACCTTGCTTGGATTGCCTTGGCATGCCTTTTCCAGCCCCAGTGTTCCTGGAGCTGTAGGCCCTTTTACTCTCTCAACCCTAATCCTAAGCCTAACCACTCCCCTAACCCTACTGCTAAGAATTACTCTAACCACTACCCATACCAATTAACCTAACTACTACTCTAACCACTACCCTAACCCTGAGCCTATTCCCATCACTAACTGCCTCCACCAGAATGTTCTAGTACCCACTGATGGGACTTGTTTTTATACTGGGAGAGTGTTAGTAGAAAGCTCCCTGCAGTAGTGGTAAGTATGAGACCATATCAAACAGATCTCTGGCATGAGATACCGAGTGGAACATAAATTCAGAAATCCCATTTCCTGAGGACAGACTGCAAGCTGAAACCCTCTTGTCTTACCACTGGAGT